GAGGGCTTCCCTGAGGAAAGAAAGGGCCCAGTCAAGGCCCCCGGGCACACCCAGGCAGAGTGACAGAAGGGGAGGGAAAGAGGCCAGCAGGAGGGAAGGGATAAGGTCGTGTGAGGTCGTGGAGGAGGAGGCCATTCGCATTTTCTGTGAACACCTGTTACTCCCAGTGCCAGGAAAGGCTATGAGAAGTGAAAGAACACCATGAACAAAGTCTTCTGCTGGGGCCTTTAAGCTCAGCCAGTGTGAGGTCACCCTCACCGAGACACTCAGTGGCAGCTCCAGTCCCTGCACGGCACTCTGCGGTGATGGGGACAGGGTGGGGGCAGCCAGAGCCTGCCCAGCCAACAGCCCCCCAGGAGACTTGGAGCCTGTGCTTCCCACACCAACCACACCCCTGCTCTGCCATCCCTGTGGCTGGTGTCAGGGACCGAGTGGACCTGCAGAGCCACGTCTGTCCCTCTGTCTGTCAACCACAGCCGGTACCCAGCAATTCAGGAGGCCTAGTGGGCGAGGGAGGCTGGGGAAAGGCCAGGAGGGTGGGAGGAGGAGTCGGCCACAGAGAATAAGGGGCCTGCAGGCAGCTGGGGCACCCCAGAACAAATGCAGGCCACAGAGAATAAGGGGCCTGCAGGCGGCTGGGGCACCCCAGAACAAATGCAGGCCACAGAGAATAAGGGGCCTGCAGGCAGCTGGGGTGCCCCAGAACAAATGCAGGCCACAGAGAATAAGGGGCCTGCAGGCGGCTGGGGCACCCCAGAACAAATGCATTTGCCTCAGGCCTTTGCCCCATTACTCTAGTTCTGAGAACCTGCTCTAAATAAAGGAGGTAATTCTGAACTGGGAGACAGGCCCTTTGTGCTCCAGGATATTCACTGCAGTGTTACTTACAGAGGCTAAGGAGGAAAGGGGAGGGCAGCAGGGAGAGGAAGGAGGTGGGGGAGACGGCAGGGGCAGGGGAGAGGGAAAGGAAGGCCCCACTTTTTATATACATACATTTTTAGAGCGGCTTTAGGTTCACAGCAAAATTAGAGGAAGGTTACAGAAACTTCACATATATCCTCGCCCCACCCCAGTCTCCCCCATTATCAACATCCCCCATAAGGGGGTACAGCTGTTTCGCTTGATGAACCCACACTGACATGTCATTATCACCCGAGTCCACAGATTTTGGGTTTTTTTTTTTTTCTTTTTGAGACAGGGCCTCACTCTGTCACCAGGCAGTGCAGTGGCACAATCACAGCTGACTGCATTCTTGAACTCCTGGGCTCAAGGGATCCTCCTGCTTTAGACTGTTAAGTAGCTGGGATTACAGGCGCGTGCCATCACACCTGGCCAATTTTTGTATTTTTAGTAGAGACAGGGTTTCGCCATGTTGTCCAGGCTGGTCTTGAACTCCAGAGCTCAAGTGATCTGCCTGCCTCAGCCTCCCGAAGTGCTGGGATTACAGTCATGAGCCACCGTGCCTAGTCTCATACTTTATTATTTTTTAAATTGGCAAAATACAAAACAAAACAAAACTTATTTCCTGGCTCTCTCTTCCAAAGTCCTAGGACTAAAGAAATCCCAGGAGCAAGCACCACCCCTGGTGACCACATTGGGGTCTCTAAACATCATAGTCACACCGAGGAAGGAGTGCGCCCCGGGGGGATGGTTGGGCAGATCCGCAGCCGGAAATGCCAGGGAGGGGTTGGAGTCTGCAACATCATGGTGGCTACAAGTAAGGAAGGTGCCCAAGACCCAAGGGTTGTGTCAAAAGACTACAGAAGCCAATCTGAGGCTGCTTCCGGGCAAAGACAGACAAGCTGGGCATGAAAAAGCAAGCCTGCAATTGACAGATCTGAGTTCACCAGGCAGCCCAGGAAACACAGTCTCCGGCCCTCCTGCCCTGTCACTGGCCCTCGCCAGGGCACTAACTCATTGTTCTGAAGACTGTTAGAGGTGAACACAGGCATTTTCCCTCCTTTTCTGTCCGAGTAGTATTTCAGGGTAATCAAATAGACAATGAGGAAGATTCCTTTATAGAATTCCAGCTATTAAATAGAGGGGGAACAATATAGTTCAAAAAATCACCATTTTGCACCCTTAAGGAAGCAGTACAGGCAATGGTCAACGGCTGTTCAAAAGCCATTAAATACGCTGGAGGAGGTGGCTCACACCTGTAATCCCAGCACTTTGGAAGGCTGAGGCGGGGGGATGCCTTGGGCCCAGGAGTTTTAGACCAGCCTGGACAACATTAGTGAGACCTCATCGCTACAAAAAATTCAAAAACTATCTGGACATGGTGGTACACAACCTGTAGTTCCAGCTACTCGGGAGGCTGAGGTGGAAGGATCACCTGAGCCCAGGAGGTTGAGGCTGCAGTGAGCCCTGATTGCATCACTGCATTCCAACCTGGGCGACAGAGCAAGACCATCTCAAGAAAAAAAAAAAAAAAAAGACCCAGAAATAAAACAAAAAAACCACAGAAACCCAAAAACCATTAGATAACAGACCAATGCGTCAGCCTGACAACACCTAAACTTGCTGGTCAATCCTAGTGTCAACAAAGGGGCCCAGCAGACATCCTGTGCTTGCAGACCGACGCAGCCGAGGAAGAGACCTTGAACCTGAATCGGGCTGAGCCTCCACCAGTCCCCAGGAAATACAGGGGAGAGAAGCAGGTTCAGCACTACACAGAGGCAACCA